TGGGGCAACTTACAATGAATTGGAAGGTAAATTTAACACAGGTCTGGTTGATTCTTTAGTCGTATTGGAATGGATTGCTTTTATCGTCATTGTACTTGTTCCCTGTGGAATAGCGACATTCTGTGGACTGTAGTACCTTGTTTCCACTGAGTTTTCCCTATGTCGAGGATTGGAGGGAGAAAGTGTAATGTTTTCAGCTACGCTACAGTGAAAATGGAAAAGAGTTGCACTTATATAACAATTTTTCCAACCTCTGGGTGTCCCAAGTACCTCAAAAGTGTAATTATTATTACAATATATACCCTATAATACTGTTCCAAAGGATGAGATGAGATTTTCCCGATGTATATAAGACGCTAAAAGCAATTGACAAAGTAGATGTAGAGAGGATGTTTCCCCTTGTGGATCCATCTAGAACAAGAAGTCACAGTTTTAGGCTAAGCAGTGGCAGATTTAAAGCAGGGATGAGGAGGAATTACTTCTCTCAAAGGGTCATGAATCTGTGGAATTCACTACCTCAGAGTGTGGTGGATTCTGGGACATTGAGTAAATTTAAGGAGACGATAGAGAGATGTCTAACTAGTAACTGGTTTTGGAGAGCTGGCATGAAAGTGGAGTTCATAGAATCCCTACAGTGTGGAAGCAGGCCATTCAACCCATCAAGTTCACCCAGCAAATTAGCACGGCCATTCCACCTAAGCTGCACATCTTCGGACCGTGGGAGGAAACTGGAGCAAACACACACACAGACACGGGGAAGGATATGCAAACTCCACACAGTCAGTTGCCCACTAACCACTGAGCCACTGAAATGGGTTGAGGCTGTGATGAGATCAGCCACAATTGTATTCAATGGCTAAGCAGGTCCAGGGGGCTGAGTGGCCTCCTCCTGCTCCTGCTTTTTATGTTCTTATAGAGTAGGACACACAGCAGCCAATTTGTGCCCGTACCCCATACGTAGCATTAGATTATGATGTTGACGGATAGTCTCTGCCACATCCTCTGAATTCAATGGGAGGACCATTGGACACACTTGTGTGTCCCTCTTGAAGCTAGCTAGCTCCAGAAGCATTGAGGGAACACTCTAAAAATGTCCGCTCTGGTGGATTGGACACTGTACCTGGACGATCAGAAAACATCTCCCTAGCCAGGCCCTGCTTTCTCAACTCTGAAATGGCCAGTGGAGGACAAAGGATAGCCCATGAAGAAAACACAACAAAGATACTCTGAAGAGATAGTAGGACACTCTGAAGCTGCCCACGTTGCCTACAAACATTGATGCTAATAACCGTAGAGGAGCTTGTGTCCTGATGTTCAAAATGGCAGCAACTTGCTCACCATTTTGAGTCACGGCGCCTTCATGATGAGGCAGGGCAGGGAGGAAAGTTGGACGAAAGATTGTCCTCCCAGATCCCACTACCCCACGGGACAGTCTGCCTCATTTGTTGGTTGAGGATTGGCCAGTCATGTCAGGTGACCCATGGCAAAATCCTGAGGCGGTGCTGACCTCAAAGTAAGGGAAGGACAATGGTGATTGGTTGATGGGAGTTATCACAGATAGACCTCTTCCCTGATTTTGCTGAAATTACGTCAAAAGATATTTTGCATCAACTCAAGGAGAGAGAGACAGGGCCATGGTTTCAATGACTTATCTGAAACGCAACACATCCCAACATGGCACCATTCTCTCAGTAATGCACAGGATGTGTCTGCCCAGGTTATGGGTTTTGATTTCTGAACCCCACAAGCTTAGAACCAAAGAGCCATAGAGAAATTACAGCGCAGAAGGAGGCCGCTCAGCCCACTGTCCGTGCTGGCGGAGATTAAAAAAAGGCTATCCGCCCATTCTAATCCCACCTTACAATGTCTGATTATAGCTTTGCAGGTTACAGCTGCAGACCAAGGTTCCTTTTATGATCAGCTGAGCGTTTCTGCCTCCACCATCAAACTGGGCAGTGAATTCCAGAGACTCACTGCCCTCTGAGGTGGGGGTTGCAAAAAAAATCTTTTCTTCATGGTCCCTATAATCATATACTGATTTGTCTTAAGAAAAGGAGGGACTGAAAGACACCAGTCAGTGTACAGATATCTTCCTGAGAGAGAAGGGACTGAGAGACACTAATCAGTGTACAGATATCTCCCTGAGAGAGGGGGAACTGAGAGACACTAGTCAG